ATGCAGCGAAATCGTCCAGGACATAAATCGTGCAATGTTGCTATACTGGCTTCTCTTTTCTAATACTCAGTAGCCAAAATTGATTTTGACCTGAGATTCCACACAAAAATACGTACCTAAATTACTTTGTCGTTAGTGATCAGTATCATAGTTAGTACTAAGATTTCCAATAATCGTCCCATCCCATTGTGAGAATTCGTGAGTCATCTTGATTAGTTACACTTCTGAAAGGTGAAATCTCATCCGCTAGCCTCATGGCAGTGACCAGAATTAGCACATAACATACTAAGTTATAGGTTGTACAATGTGTATAATCTGGTTGTTTCAAAACGAACTTTGAAGTGGCAATCAGTGATTCCTGATAAACTGTTTTCTTTTCTTTCTGCGATGCACATGACTTGGTCGGATTAAATCAAATGCTGTCGTTGGAAAACAACTGGCAAACCATAATTAAACTAAATTCTCCAATAAACATGCGCTTCACAGCACCTTGAGTCAGTGGCCGAGCTCCAGGAGGTCAATGAACGTGTATGAATTCGCTGAAAATTCAGAAACAATTCTTTGATATTCAAACCTGTTAATTCCGTACCGTCCGTACAGCAACTATTAACTTTGAATTACAGTGAACTTGTCTTTTATGAACCTAATTGTAGAACTAATGACAGTGCAAGGAAATAGCCAAATGAAGTGTTTGCTTGCGCTTGCGGACTCTGTTCATGACAAACCGTATTGTCATCTATAAGTTTTCTGTCTCACACATCAATTTATCAGTAAAACCCCTTGAAACCAATCTCTAAGCCGGATATTGTCAGTTCACATTGGGTCCATGTGTATGTGTATGATCAATAACCCGAAGTGGCATGATTCACTTTCTGTCTGTTAGAAGCTCGTCAAATAATGAGAGAAAAGATTTCAAGTAAAAATAGTTAATTTTTAACAAAGCACTGTATAGAGTAGGGGAAATTATGCATATTTGAGGGAATAGGATAACTGCGCGAACACGACTAGCTACAGCACTCAGCTTTATCGTCTATTAGTTCAGTAGTCTGATGCGCTGAACCAGATGAATTCAACTGAGAAGCCCAAGAATAGTTTCCTTATGCAATCGACTGTCTAAAATCCTGATATCTTCAAGTCAGTTCATTGTCTGGTCTTCCTTTCTTTCCTTTCAGCCTTGAAACATATCCCTGACGACGGAACATGAGTGTCATATATCCCAGCCCTCTTGTTTAAAGGAGGTCAAGCACTAGTTTATTAATTCAAAATACATCACTGCCATGCTAAATGATGCTTCTAAAAAACATCAGTCACTGAAATCGAACAAAGTTAAAAGCAAGCGTATAACGGAGAGGAGATAAGGGCAACACCATTTCAGCTTCAGAAATGTAGCAAAACATCCTTCACTGGCGATCCTTCAAATAGCTCAACAGTGTCAGTTGTTATGCTCTGAAACAGTAGGTTACAAAATCTTCCTTTTCCATGACTCAGTTACCGGTGAACTTCAGAGTTAGACCGGTTTGCTTAAACCCACCCCCACCCCCATCTCGCAAAGCCTGTAAGGACAGTTCAGCAGAGGTCCTGAAAGTTCGACTACTTTTGTCTTAGACAATATTATTATTTTTTGTTTTCTGTTAAGTTGATGTGCAGCTAAGTTTACGGTCAGATGAGGTTACCAGTACGAGGATGAGTCGTGCCATTCATAGATGAAAGGATATTTGACCCACTCTACGTGGCCAGCAATCAGTTTGTTATGACCGATGAAACTAGGCTAGACGACTTTGGATGGTACTCGAATATCATCTCATGAATGTGAATGTTTAACGAAACATCAAAGAATCTTAAGTAATCCATTTTGGATTTCCTGCCTCACTTTTGTCACATCATCCAATTTGTACTGGAATGAGGTTACTACGCATATGATAAACAGCCAACTTAAAAAAGAGCCTACTTGAACTACCATTTTCCATCACTAACTAATGCCAGATTATTTTTCAAATTATTAGGCAGATGCCTTGAACGAAACATTTGAAGGATAGTAGTTGAACCAAAAAAAGACTTACATTAAACATTTCCGTCGGACTTTGGTTTCCATNAAAAAGCCTATAAAATATTTAACATGTTGGCTAACATTTTCCCTATAGTACTCTCCGTCCTCTGATCGGGGTTCGATAAACTCCTCGTAGCGCTGGAGCAATCTGTCTCTGGTTTCTTTATTTATCTTCGGAAAGTCCGGATGACCAGGTTCCGGTCGCGGTTCGCCTTCTTCTTCTTCCATCGCTTCCGGATCTGGTGCATCGTCGTCTACACCCGCGGTCGGACTGGACAATTTCCCACTGGTTGGTCCTCCTTCCAATCCCGATTCCGGTTGAGGCTCGGGAATTGCATGCGGNNGTTCCGGTTCGTAATTTCTTCGACTGTATAACGTGCCATCCTCATAATCAATCCGAATCCCATCCCTGCGCACAGTCAGATCTTCATCCGGGATCTGCCTTTTTTTGTTCGGTGGTGGGGAAAAATTGTCAAAGATTTTCACTGAGTGTGTGCACGTTTCCCAAGGATGCATACAACAAGAACTGCAGCAAAGATCAAAAGGTGTGACCGAAACGCATACGTCTAGTAAATGGGGATTAATGAATCGATCAAATTGTTTACCTATCGTGAGATATTCACCGTACGAGAGTGTTAACATGGTTTGTGGGTAAAACTCTGAATAGCTTATTTCCTTACAATAAACTTGGCGGTAAGTGGTAATACAAACAAATTATTTCATGAACAAAAGAGAGATTATTGGGAGATAAATTTAGCAACTAGCGATACGGACTCCCGTCTTCAATGACTCCGGGTAGATTTTGTCGTCCCACTTCAATCAGGATGCATTCAACTGAAGCACCTTTTCATTACAGTGCGGCCGTCTGTCCATCCTTTTCGATCGCTATTACCGACAAGTTTTCTCTAATCTTTTCGGCTTCATACCCTCTAAGGTCACAAATGTTAAGTGATCTTTTCTAAGTGATCTAGATTTTGACTTTTAAATTGTTATGACACCAAGAAATTGTGAAGTAGTTCCTTTCACGTTCTCTCCTTTAATATACGGTCTCTTGGTCTTCCAGGTTGTGTTCCGTCAGTTACATTTGGAATGAATACTTTCTATTTCTAATGCACAGCAATATTTTTCATTCGTTCACCCGGTGGTGAACTCTCAGACAACCGTTAATTTGTCTTTAGTCTATGATAAGTACTTAGAACAATAGGTAACAATTTCAGCGATAACATTTTCATGTGTTCACTATGCACAATTCTTTGTCTTTTTTAAACTTTACATGTGTGCCAGTGGCAAACAACCTTTGTGAAATACGAGATATGATTACTGTGGTTTTTATGTACTAAAACTAAAATCCAGTAATAGACATATGTTCCGTTCCTTGGAAGACCTATCAACATTACGCTTGTTTGTATTTCTGTTGTGACTCGAAGGTGGAGTAAAATAAACCTCGCCCCAGGAGCAACACAATCGATAACCAGCAGCTTAAACGCATGTCTATATGAAATAAACATTTTCTATGCGGGGAATCAAGGAACTCTCAATGGGTGAGACCCATACGAATTCACAATACACTGGCCCAGGGGTCTGTAATTTAGCATGTAAAGTGCAAGCAAGTGCCCATTCCACATCGTACTTTTATTATTGTTTACTTTTGCTTTAGCCGGTATAAAAACGCAAAAGAAGCTAAATTCTATAAAACTATTTCTAAAGAAAAGAGCACCGTGCAGTACCGCACGATTTGTGTAAGGGACTATTTGGCTGCATATCAACGTAGTACATATTGCAGAAAACGCAGGGTTACTACGGGGCTTTGGCATAGAAGCAAAGTAATTTAAAATACAACAAAGCAAACGAAAATAAAGGGGAGTAAAACGAGAATCACGGCACCATGGTAAGGACAAGCTAACACAATATTTAATTTCCCTCTTGTAAAACTTCTGTTTGATCCATATTAGCTGCCTTTTTAGGGCTTAATCGTTTTCACCCAAATAAAGTATGGCATCTTTTGGCGTTTTCATCCTGACAAAACCGAAGGGGATTGTACACTGTCACTGTGATCGCAGTGTCCAAATTTGCTCGACATTATTTCAGGAATAACTGCAGTTGATTAGCTTTTTGTGAAAGACGACTAGCAAACCTCAAAAAACTTGGTTCTCTCCATGATCGGAAATACCAGTGGAAGTAGTTGGTTTCAAATTCTGCCGCAAGCGGAACAAAATAAGGCCCTTTAGGGGTTAACCCAAGGTCTGCAATTTGGTAGACCTGATCGACACCCCTCAGATAAAATATTTTTTATTTCCTTGTCTTACACTGAAATTTTTCTCGTGAAAAATATAATCAACACATCAAAATTCTGGATATATTAACCTTATATACAATCAAGTTAATTTCTTTATATGTTCAGTGGTTTTCGTGCGCTTACTCTTCGGGGATGCGGTCATTTCTATCTCAAGTTGATGGAGGTGGATGTGTTTAGTTTTTGCAAGCTTGGAAGTTGTTGCCGAAAAAGTGTGATTATGTTTACTGTCACGCAACGAACCCAAAATATCGCTGCCTCTTCTTGAGAAGTAATAGAGTATTTTGAAGCCATTTTCGGGCTCCCTAGGGGAAGGTAGGTGGGCCAATTTGGATGAATTCCAATAACAATGTCGATTGCACTTTTCGCCCTCAACCATCAAGATGTATATTGAAACATTTTTCAAGCGCATAAGTGAGAGACATCACATTGATTTACGTTATTTTTCGTTACAATAAATGTTTATATACACCTAGTCTTCGAGCTATGATTTCATATATAAGCGCGTTCGCGCTACTTCTGAGTAGTGTGTATATAATTGCGCGTTTTGGCCAGGAAGGGGACTGGCCTTCAGGTCTACCTGGAATTTTTAACTTTATCACATTAAAATTTATTGTTAGAATAAATTTAGTAAAATAATAAAGTAATCCTGCTTCATGACAGCATACGGAAGATCAAAATGGTGTGCAGTAAACAAGCAAAACAGTTGAATGTTTTTGTTTTTTCCGTTTTCCTTTTGTATATTTTGCGTTCAATCCATGGTTATTTTGGCGCCCTATCTGTAAAGATTTTTATATTTATATGATCAAAGAGGGAAATTCAACACGGGTTGATTAGATGCGAAGTGCCTAATAGTAATCTATTGAGACTACGCGTTATAGGTAGTGTTCAAGTTATACAGTGCGGTATTCAGCTGTTAGTAGTAGCTGATAATAGTAGTAGTAGTAGTAGAAGTAGTAGTAGTAGTAGTAGTAGTAGTAGTAGTAGTAGTAGTAGTAGTAGTAGTAGTAGTAGTAGTAGTAGTAGTAGTAGTAGTAGTAGTAGTAGTAGTAGTAGTAGTAGTAGTAGTAGGTAGCTTGTTTTAAGGGCACTTCTTCAGAAAAAAGCACACAGTGCTTATAGCGAATTGCTTTTATTCTCGTGAAATTTCTTGTCAATTTCGTGTAGCAAGGCACGAAAGTTTGAATGTTACTGCCGCGTTTCTGCTGCCAGCGCTAGTCCTGTAATTGCTATTACAAAACGGTTGATTCCTCTTAACTGAAAGCCATCTCTCTTGACTGCCTGCAAAAGAACCAATTGTTTGTATACAAACAGACACCATAAGTGAGCTCAACACCCAAAGCGAATCAATTCCGGATTGGATGACTGCGGCGAATCAGACAGCTGTGGTTCAATTGATCAATCGGAGCGTCAAGTTCGCAATCTGACTGGTGCGTCACCACGGTGTTCTCGTATGCCCAATTACCCAATAATGCTTGCGTATCGCATCATGATCAACACAGTACACTCTCACTGTTGTTCTACAGTCGTGTTCTCTCTCCGTATCGCTGTCGGAAGCTAGGCGAGAGGCGTTCGTATCGATCATACGTATAATCAAGAACATAACAACTTAGAGATTATCTAAGTTGGTAAGTATCATTAGTGTTCATCATCATAAATGGTGAACTTCCAGCGATGAAACAACTCGTAAGTGGCTGTCGTTTTTATAAGAGTTATTTCTATATTTATGAAGACATAACCCTGGTCGGAAGTCATTGGTTTGCAATAATAAATTCCATCCAGTGATGCAACCAAACCAGTGGAAAGATTCGTGAAGCGTAAGTTGGTCATTTCAGTTGAATAATTTTTATTAAGTCCAGATGTCCCTCAAACGGCAGCTCTGATGATGTTCCCAAGAGGCCAAGGTACAACGACTTTGATCGGTCGCTTAATCCGCCAGTAATTGAAGAGATTTCTATCTCGCAACCGATGGACTACAATTTGCCACTGTCAGCTGTACTCGTATTACCAGATTGAGAACATCCGATCTTTTTCCTCATTCCACCAAACGGGATGCCCTTCAAAAGCCTTTTCAAGTAATGTTGAATAATTCTATGCACTATTAGTCCATAATTGATCAACAGGAACAAGAAGGATCTGTCAGAAATGAAATAAATACAGTCGCCCGATACCTCTATTCTAATGAGATATTACTTTCAAGACCATGGAGGAATACGTGAAATTGGAATCAAAGCTTTAGTTCCAGAATTGTTGCAAATGTATGCTGTATTGTATGCATGGATATCATTCATTTTGTAGATGAATATACTGTCCAAAACGGTTGCTAAATCCATCGGAGATGGTAGTCGGGATAAACCGCGATTATTGATATCCAAAAAGTCGTTGAAATTTGTAACCGTTAAATCAGCACTAGCAGGTAGCAAACTTTTTCATTGATTATCGGTAAGTAACAATGAGTATTAAAGAAATTCATTATGTACAGAAGCTGTCATGAGGCGAAAATACCAGGATGTCAGCGTAAGGAACGACTGCAAAGAAAGGTTCAAAGAAGTCCTTACTCTTGATATATGGCTCTTAGAACGTCTTTCGAAAGCTATCCTATTTCACCACTTATTAAGTAAAATTGAAATGAAATCAGTTGTATTTCCGCAGCCCATCACTTACAGATTCAGCTGATACAGATCCATCTCAGTGATTTTGAAAGTGGAATATTAGCAATGTTAAGTTATAATATACTCATAAAAGCATTTTAATGAATTTTTATCACTACCATTCTAAATTGTTACTCTCCCTTTGTCTATTTGGGCTGCGGTCAGTTTCACAAGCGATTTCNATGGGCGATTAGCTATGGAAGTGATGCACTGAAAAAGGCATACGTTATCCAAATTGGAATAAGCGTTTAATTAATTAAGTGCTTAATCATTATTATTGTTATAAATAAATATTAATGATTGCTCCCGGAGGGAGTGGGTTACTTCGGGGCACGAACAAACGTTTACCAAACGGTTGGTCGAAACATTTTATAGTGCTTTGAGGATCCATCTTCCGGAGAATAAAGGAAGCCCAAGGTATTGTATAGGGGTTGTTTCACTCAAGGAACTGCCGGATGACCTTGAAGGGATTCTCTCTGTATATATAGCTGCTTTTATGCAGCTCGTGTTGTATGGGTATCGATTAAATTTAATCGATACCCATGCATTTATCTGGATGATGCTATTTATCTGGTGCTGTTTATGGGTAACCTGTGCAAACTGAATTGAACTTAACTGATAATATTTAAATGAATAAAAGCAATTAATGAAAGACGGTGTGCTGATTACCGTGATTTTATAGGTGAATTAGACGTGATGCAGCGATTAAAGATCGAGATTTGCATAATAATGCTAGCGGAAAAGTGACCTACTGTCAGCGGGCCTGTTCGGAAAGTACTTTTTGGTGACTGTGATCGATAAGCTCATATGAATAAACGGTTATCACCGAATACCCGAGGGCTCGGTGACTAAACGATGACGCCCGGGTTAAAATCTTGAAAATCTTGAGGCTTAGGAAAAGTCAAACAACTTCTCACCTGAATTTTTATGACGTAATCTGGAGTTAACTTAAGCGCCAAAATGTAGTGAATTTGTTGCTCTGGACTCAGAAAGGCTCTCCCGAAAGTCGGAAAATCGTCCAAAATATAGCCATAATGGGCACATTCTGGAGAGTTCAGCTTCTCATTGATTAAGTTAAAAACGATCTCATCGTTGAGAGCCTCACCATTAATGAGGATATCATTCAACTGGCGCCCAACTTCGGTATTGGAATTTAAATATTCCTTGATTATTTCGGTAACTATAGGTAGTGCAGATTTCGGCAGTTAAAAAAGGCAGTGCACAAACCATTAACCAACTGAAGCTTCCACTTTCGACAGAGCTTCTTTGCAAGTGTAGTTTTTCCAGTACATGGCTTGCCAAGAAGAATGACGCAAATGGGCTTTTTATGCAAAAAATGCAGGCGTCCCTGTGAGAATAATACTACAATCAAGATCACCCCAGTAATACCTGTTCTTCTGGAAATGGGTTTTTGTGCAAATAAAAATCTCTTTTCAATACTTGTGACTGCGTCCTATAGCTGCGAAGAAATATTGGACTGGAACTCATTTCATAAATGATCCATTTGGGTTGAGCATAACAACGATTTACACCTTGAGCATTTCAGACAGTAAAACAAATTTAAAATTGCAGGACGTGCAGAAGCCTTCGCCTATGGGGTGTCCTGGTAGTGGCGTGTTCCTGGGGCTGACGCGCCTAAGAATTGGTATTGTTACCGGTTTTACCGTTCCGGAGTTATCTGGAAGCAGAGAATGGAAAAAGAGATGGCCCACGCTTGAACACAGTATTCAGGGTGATGACGGACGAAGTGTGCAAATAACTGGATGAAAATTTCGGCGCTTCTGTTTTTATGGCGGTTTTAGGACAGAAATGCTTCTGCGTCGCATGCTGCAGATGGGGTGAATTTGCATGTAACTCTCATCCCTAGGTCTGTCGTACGGTAGGGGTTCCGAAATCCCGAGAGGGTTGGTGACGAAGATTGAAGGACCTGGGATGTCTGAAAGCATGTGACTCTTCAGCGCGTTGAGCAGTATATCCCGTTTGGCTGACCATTCGCATATTTTATCATATATATTATATGTATTTATATTCACGAAAATGAGAAAGAGTAGGGGCGCAAGTATGCAACCTTGGAGCTCTCCACTGGTAGGGGAGCCAGCGACCGAGTGAGCCTCTCTGACTTTGAAGGCTTCTTGGAAATCTAAGTAGCATACTGTAGTAATCGGAATAGTATTGAATTTAGGAATACGAGAATCCGTACTGTACTGCTC